CTTTTTCTGTCCTCAAAGCTGCCTTGCTTATTGGGTCGGAAGAGCTCACATCTTATGAGGGGTTAGACCCTGCCTTGAAAATCAATATGATGGGCTGGACATGGTACCTTGTGTCTGTAATCCTGCCACTTTGGGAGGCCCAGCCAGGTGGATCACTTGAGCCCAGCAGTTCGAGACCAACCTGGGCAACATGGCAAAACCCCGTCTCTACAAAAAAACACAAAAATTATCTGGGCATGGTGGTGCAGACCTGCGGTCCTAGCTGCTAGAGAGGCTGAGGTGAGAGGATTGCTTGAGCCTGGGAGGCGGAGGTTGCAGTGAGCTGCAGATACTGCACTCCAGCCTGGGTGATGGAGTACGGTGACTGACATCTGTAGTAATCACTGGGCCTAGATTTAGGCCAATTACACCACCTCTGACTGATAACTCTGTGCTTAAAGTGCCATGCGGGCATAAACAATGGGGTTTGAGGACCCCTGATGATATCTCCGAGGGAAGGACACCAGGCCTCCTGCAGTGTTACTTCACTGATAAGTGCCAGTGGAACCAGTGCCTCATCTGGCAGAGTTTCCCTTCCCTTTTTGCTTAAATTCTGAATCCTTTATGCTTCCTTTTTCCTTTCTTTACCTTTTGAGATGTAAAGCCGCCTGGAAGCCGAATAACTGGTGACACTTTCAATAGTTCTCTCTTCTCCAGGCTTCTTCTGCTTACCCCATGCCCACTTCATGAGTGCCAACACGCACCAGTAGTCTGGACCGAAACACTGGCCTTTTTCTGAGGGGAGACAGTGTCTGTCTGTGGCTACAAGAGGCTGCAAAGAGGACAAAAATCCAGACACCTAACAAAGTACATGGCTTTGAGGTTTCTTCTTCCATCATCTTTGGCTCAATGAAATGCCCCTAGTAGAGAGACAGTAATTCACATACACTTCTGTGGGATCCACAGACTATTGAGTTTTAGCTTCCTTGCCTCCTGAGTGGAACCATCTAATAAGCACATGGTTTGGAGAAGGGAAATGGGTAAAATGTTGCAAAACACAGATCTGAAATCTCACTAGTGGCCTCAGATAGCAATAAATGAATCTAAGTGTTCTTAAACCTGGGGTGGGAACTAGGACAGAAACCAGGGAAAGCCCAGAAGAGAAGCAAACACATCCTACAGCTGGAAGACACAGCGGTTCTAGGGACCATCAAGTGACAATGGCCCACTAGAGAATCTAGTGCACTGAGTAAGCCCAAAGCATGTCTATTCTTTATCAGGCGTCCCCAAACTACGGCCCGCGGGCCACAGGCGGCACCCTGAGGCCATTTATCCGCCCCCCCCCCGTCGCACTTCAGGAAGGGGCACCTCTTTCATTGGTGGTCAGTGAGAGGAGCACAGTATGTGGCGGCCCTCCAACAGTCTGAGGGACAGTGAACTGGCCCCCTGTGTAAAAAGTTTGAGGATGCCTGCTTTAGATTCCAACACCCTGAGATTCACATAAACCTTTCACTACAGACTGGGATGGGGCTAGGGGTCATAATACTTTGGAGCTATCTGGAAAAGGGTCAGCAGCCCTGGAAAGACAAACAGGTGAACTTTAACAACAGAATCTCTGGAATGGCCAAATCATTACTTCCAAAGGTGTGACTCAGTTTTTGAAAAATAACAAATTAATGAAAACAGAGGGTGTAAAGCTGTACCAAGAACATTCTCTTTCCCATTCTGATACTTCATGTAAAGACTCTAAGTGATAGGCCTGAGCTCATGTTGTTGGCCAGATCTGCAGCTATTCATTCAGCTTGGGCTGCCTGGGGTGCTCATGAGTATCCAAACCAGCAGGTGAGGACTGAGGATTGTGGCCACTGAAGAGGCTGGCGGTAGGTACCTGTCTAAGCAGCACAAGACAAGGGAGACCTGCTGATGCCAGTATCCAGAGAGAACTGCTGGCTAGTAGAAGGCCTATAACTACCACCTTATGGGGCTTCCAGACAATACAGTTGAGAAAGTATGGTACTTTATCTCTGGAGACAGACCAGAAGTCAGTTCATCTAAAATTAATTGCATAAGACAAAGTACCTGAAATTATCTACGAGAGCTTACATTTTCATGGGTTCTTGGCCATAGAATCCAGTATTCCTGAGATTGAAAAGCTTGCAAATTTCTCGTCACAAGGAAAAGTTTTTGGCAAGAAAAGTGAGCTTTAACATGAAAGGGCCGTGTGAAGTGGCAGGGGTACAACACCAATCTAAAGAGTTTTGAGAACCTGCCCCCTCTACTTTTGAAAGGCACAAACAGATCTGAGGGGACTCTTTGTAACCCCTTTCCCTGGTCTATTGAGTGGAAAAGGGTCAAGATGTAGTCCTAATAATCCAATTTTCCTAAGAAGTATGATCTTCCTTCCCCAATATTCAAAATGTGCCAGGATAATTAATTAGTCAACACCCTGTGTTGATTTCCTCTCCCAGAATGAAGGAAATGCTTATAGTGAAAGATACAAAACTTACTACTCTAATTTAGCATTCCCTGAGAACTGAACTTACAGTATTCCCATGATAATACAAAGTCCCGAGAGAGGAGCTTCTCTTGAAAAATGGTTGGAAATGGAAGACAGAATTTTTTTTTTTTTTTTTTTTTTTTTTTGAGACGGAGTTTCGCTCTTGTTACCCAGGCTGGAGTGCAATGGCGCGATCTTGGCTCACTGCAACCTCCGCCTCCTGGGCTCAGGCAATTCTCCTGCCTCAGCCTCCTAAGTAGCTGGGATTACAGGCATGCGCCACCACGCCCAGCTAGATTTTTTGTATTTTTAGTAGAGACGGGGTTTCACCATGTTGACCAGGATGGTCTCGATCTTTCGACCTCGTGATCCTCCCGCCTCGGCCTCCCAAAGTGCTGGGATTACAGGCTTGAGCCACCGCGCCCGGCGGAAGACAGAATTTTATATACTCTAAAAATGGGGTTTTGTCAGAGGAAACATATCTCCTGTTCTGGAATTGGGATCTTGAATTACAGCTCCTAAAGAGCATATGACGATTCAGACAGAGGGCCATAGAGAGCTACACGTCACGTCAGGAAAGGAATTAACAGAGGTAGTATATGTTAAGGAAATGAACCACTCTAAACACTGAATATCATTGGCCACCCTAAAATGATGAGGATTTAATGACCTGCACACTCAAATGAACCAAAGGATAAAACTCCTAAAAAAGGAAAATACTGTAAGTATTAATGCTACATTATCATCAAGAACTAATGGTTTAATTTTGCACTGGATTTGTGGTGTATTCTCTCCAGGCCTGGGCATGATATTTTTAAAGGCTGGTTTTGTCTAGAGGAGGATGTGACAGGTAAGAAAAGCATGCCATATGAGGAATGACTGAAAGCACTAGGGTAACAGCAGCTCAAAGTAAGACTGAGGGGAGACCACCCACTGTACATATCTGAAGGGCTGTTAAAAGAGCTGCAGATCGATCTGGACTACAAGGAGAATCCACAGGCAGACTTCAACATGTATTAGGAAAAACTCTCTCATTATTAGAGTTGCCCAACTTTTAAGTAATAATTGCATAGCCACCAGAGGCTACCTGACCATGCCCATGAGTCAAAGCTGCGGTAGCAGGGATCCCTGTGACAGAATCATAGAAAGCTGGACCTACTGACCTCTGGGCCTTGCCACTCTAAACTTCCATGACTCTTGTCAATGGGTTGAAAAGTACTGCATTCCATTAAACCCCTATTAAGTGCCGTCTGCCCTATTAATTTCTAAGAAAGTAAATCGCTCCCCTAAATCTAACCACTGGAAATAATCAAATTCACCATGATTCTCACAACCTAATGGGCTGCATCTTCTTTCTCACAATGTTGCAAGTGGCCTCAGATATTTGACTTTGCCATACGTGTCTTTCCAGCCTACTTCCTAGTCCATCTCCCAACCGTCGCTCCTCCTCACTTCTCATTCCTCCTTGCACTGACTTCATTTCTCATTAGAAGCAGGTGTCAGAGTGACCAGAGGAAAACAAGGTCAAGAAAGGGCGGCAGAATGGGGTATTCAGAGCCCAGATTTTTTTTTACAAAGAAAATCACTTTGCAGGGGGAAGATAAGTAGGAGATGAAAACAATGACCTGACACTTATGCCATGGTCTGGCTTTTAGGGAGGGGGCAGTGGTGCTGCCACCAAGGCACCAAAGTGATGATTTTCTTGTCTCCAGAATAATGATTTCCCACAATGGACAAGGACAACTGAAGTCAGGTGCTCTGTCCTAGCTTTTACACCATTGAGTGAGGGGGTGGGAGAGTGAGAAAAAAAAAAAAAAAAGGATAGAAAGGAAAGGAATAAATGAAGCCAGGGCCATTTGAGCCTTGGAGAAAGGACTAGGTATGTGGGAGAAATAAGGGTTAAAATTAGGGAGTTACTGGGATGTTGATAGAAAAAATACAATTAAGTCAGTTCCTGAGAGGTGAAGAATAGAACGCCTCGATGCAGCCACTGTCACCTTGGACTCTAACAGCTCCAGAGACCATCCAATGATCAACTCAACATCCTGCTGTTTCTCTTGGCACCTCAATCAGGATCCTGGAGTGGCTACCACAAGAATCACCTATATTAGAGGACACTGAGTCAATGTTAAAAGCTGAAGGATACTGATTTGGCTGAAGGATACTGATTTGGGTAGAAGCCTTACATGTTTGGACCAAATCCAATGTGGACAAAGTAGCTGAGCAGCAGGAAGTTGAGGGGTCCACAGCCAAGCCTAGTGTACTCCCCAGAGCACTCTCCAGATGGCTCGAATGATCACAATCATGCTTCAATTAAAACTGTCATCAAACTTGGGATAGGGGTGTTGGAAGAACAGCGCATTGAGAGTGCAGAGAAAATGTAGAGTGTACAGAGGTGACTGAAGAGGGTGTTAGAAGTGTCCTTCCACCAAAACATCCATTTCGTTTGGTTGGAAGGCAAGGACTGGAAAGAGGGGTGGAGGCAGCAAATGCTGTCCTTTTCCTCCCTCCTAATTCTGGAGCCTAGCCTATTTGGACAGTTTGCTGATGACTCTGATGAGGGCACCATTTTCATCTTTCAGCCTCTGGTTGTCGGATTTCAGTTCTGTTAACACCTGTAGGGTGACAGAGGGAAAAGTGAGTTAGAGCCTGGCAGGATCTCCTCCTTTGCCCTCCTTGACCAGACCAGGCCAGCCTGGTGAGCAGGGCCTTCTGAGACATTGTGTCTAATAAACTCTCATGGTCCCTTCTCCCAGGGATGACATTCCCGTCAATCTTCCTATTTACTGAGTTGGTAATGTTAATCTTTAGGGAGACTATAGCCCCTCCATCTTTTGAGCTGGCAGATTTAGCAGTAATATCTTATTTCTTCATATGCAGACCTCCTGTTTCACACTGTATATCCATCCTTTCATTCTATTGAGTCAGTAACCACTTTCAATTTCTCCTGCCCTTGAACTCAGCCCTAGTCTAAAGAAATTGGGGAGAAAGCCAAAATGGGCTGGTGAGGACATAGGGAAAGAATTCAGAAAGGGGGTGGTGGTCAACTAGAAAAGTTAGAGGAGGATACTCCTTCACATCTCATCAAAAACAAGAATGCAGGCCAGAGAGGCAGCACTCGGCTTTCCTGCCATATGCACAAGATGATTTAACGTCCACTGTGCCTTTGGTGAATAATCCACCAAATTCTCGCTAGTCATACTACACACATCCACTTTCGGCCATTAAAACTCAGAAAACTTACAGTCACAGAGCTGTGAGGCACATTGAACACTAGGTATGTATTTAATCCTCCCCAGAGCTCCCCACTGATAGTCACCAAAGGATACTCAGAGGCCTTATCAGCAGTTTTAGGGGATGACATTGTAATTCACAGAAATAGATGCTTGTAGGGCAGGGGACGGAGTGGAAACTCAATTTTGTCAGTTCTGCCATCTTGGAACATTATACATACTGTTGTCTTCTTGTGAAACAAAGGAAAACGAATAACCTCAAGTTCCGTCCTGGAAGTCCAAGTCTTTGTTACATGATCAGGCACTTTTTTTTTTTTTTTTTTTTTTTGAGACAGAGTTATGCTCTTGTTACCCAGGTTGGAGTGCAATGGCGCGATCTTGGCTCACTGCAACCTCCGCCTCCTGGGTTTAGGCAATTCTCCTGCCTCAGCCTCCTGAGTAGCTGGAATCACAGGCACGCCCCATCATGCTCAGCTAACTTTTTGTATTTTTAGTAGAGATGGGGTTTCACCATGTTGACCAGGATGGTCTCGATCTCTTGAACTTGTGATCCGCCCGCCTTGGCCTCCCAAAGTGCTGGGATTACAGGCTTGAGCCACCGCGCCTGGCTGATCAGGCACTTTTGACAGGTACACTGTGCATCTGAAAAATCCTAATGGGATGTTGATAAGGGTGCAGTTGATATGTGGGTCCCACTGGCAGCAAGAGCGATTTAGGATAGAAGGTTAAGTACACTGCCACTCTGCAGGCTACAGAAATCTATATCTGTATCTGTTCAATACAGGTGTCCTTTGACTAGTCATTTAAACCTACAGGACCCCAGAGGCAGGTAATGCCCCCAGTAAAGGGTGACCTGGGCTGAGGTATTATGAGGCCTATTTAGTTCTAGCTCTGGCTCTGCTACTAACCACTTGGGAGATCTAACTGTGCCTTAAGGAATATAATCTGTTTCCTTGATCTCTCAGGGAATATAGGTTAAATTATATAAATATATGTGTACGTACACATATATGCATCACAGATACCTAAATAATTTGTATCAGGGAAATAAAAGGAAAATCACTGAATATCTATAATGTGGACAGCACTGTGCTAGAGGGTCTCCCTAGTGCCATGAGACTATGATACAGTTGTTACCCTGATTTCTACAAATGGGGAAATGAAAAGTCCCATAACTAGTCCAAGGCACCCAGCAAAGCTAATATTGAACCCCAATGTGCCTGACTCCAAAGATCATTCTTTTATTACACGTGGGATGGAAAACAAAACATCAAAAATGTTTGAAGAAATGGAAATTCCAGCATTATCTTGTCTTTGCCACGACTGATCTATTACTTTAGGCAAATCACTCATCTTCTCTGCTTCTATTTTTGTACCTCTATAAGAACAATAGTCCCTGTCTTACTCTGTCATATGATAGGGACTCTGCGAGGCTCACAGGAGGTAACAGATGTGGAAGTATGTTGACATACATAATCAGCTTTGCGATACTGAGTATTCCTACAATCACTGTGAGTTTTCTCATGACTATGGGAGGGCAGGCAAATAATCTGCAAACTTTATTAAGAAGACTTTAATCCAGAAAATATCAAAATAAAGTTGCAGTCCTTTAACCCTGGTCTCCCGCCTCTGATTTAATCAAAGCAGCTCTGGCTGCCCTCTCCTTCATTCCTCTATCCCTGTAGCCCTGTACCTGACTCAGTGCTTGGAAACTCATTTCAATAAGATTTTTAGAAAAAGCCCAGGGTGGCCTCATGTTTCCATGTTCCCTCTGCTCTTTAATGCCCCATCCTGGGGCTGCAGCTTGGGTATAAGTGAGAGTGTGAAAGCCACATTTCCATAATAGGATTCCATAGGTAGAAAGAAGCTATATATGGCAATGGATTACATTTCACTGTTTAACAGCTCATCAAATCTAAGCTGCCTTTAAAAAAATGTATAAACAACTTGTAGAGTCTTGTAGAGTTTTGGTGATTTACTTCCACATTAAGAACTAAATTCCTTGAAAAAAAAAAATTTGGACAAGGCAGTTTTGCAGCTGCAACATGCTATAATTGACATCTAGAGGGAGTGGCAAAAAGTGTAAGAAGTGGAATGTAGAAATCAAGGGGGGAAAAAGCCTCACAAATGTCAAGTTCAGAAGAGAGAGAGGGAAATGAACAGTGTTATCCGATAGCCACTTGAAGGTAAAGAATGGTTAAATAAGAGCATATGTGAAAGTACGACATAAATATGAAGTTTAACAAAGCTTTATCATTTTAACTCTCTGGATCTTAGTTTCTTAATTTTTAAGTTCCCAGCTTATCACAGTTTGGTGTTAAAGATATCCTGGGCACCTAAACAGCAGATGCGCAGAGTAGATTTACATGTTCCAATTCCTCTTACGGCAATACTGCCTTCACAGTTATTAACCACATCCAAATAGTGAAGGCCATCCTGTCACTTCCGTGGCTGGCCCCAGGGCTACCACTGGCATTCCTGAGACTCTCCCGGCTCCACTTATGTCTAATACTAGAGAATGGTAACTAAGACTTCTGTGCATTTGAAGGTTGTTGGAAAGTTACAGGTTCATTTTAGAAAGAAAGCTGTTCTTGACAGCACTTGATACCTCTCTCCCATGTAAACTGTTTTCCTAGATCTCAACTAAAATCCCTTACTTCACAAAAGATTGTGTTGTACTGAAATGGTGCTCTTATAGTATTGGCTTATTAAAAGCAAAAAAGAAACCTAGTAAGAAAAAAAAAAAAAAGATATCCTGGGCAAATACAATTAAGTACAATTTTCTCAACTATTACTTCTTACAGTCTTTTATGGGGATTGTGTTTAAGAGGAAGAGGCTATAGGGGTCTTAAAGCTTCCGAGACCTAGGGGAAGGCTATCTGTAGGTTAAGAGGGACTCAGGATGAGTCTTGCATGAGCTGTCTTGCTTCTAACTACAAGGAAAGTGGGAAGGGAATCCCCGCTGGTATTCTGTTGGTAAGTGGCTGGCTATACATGCTGAGATAAGATGATTTTTCCTGGAACTATTAAAAAAACAAAACAGGTAGAGAAAAATCTCTTGATCACACTGCCAGTTTGGCTTAGTTATCCTTCCTTCTGGCAAGAATCGGCAAGGTTTTTCTGTAAAACACCAGACAATAAGTATCTTAGGGTTTGCGGGTCAAATAGTCTCTGTGGCTACTCCTCAGCTCTGCATTTATAGCACAAAAGCACCCGTAGACATATGATAATGTGTAAACAAATGAGTACGGTTCAGTTCCAATAAAACTTTTATTTTGGACATTGAAATTTGAATTCCATATAATGTTCATGTTAATATGTCATAAAATGTTACTCTTTTTTTGATTTCTTTTTTGACTATCTGTATGGCTTATGAGCTATATTGGTGGGTCACAGTTCACCAACTCGCTATGGTCATATACTAGGCAATGGCTTTATTTACAGTAGCAGAATCTTTTGGTAGGTAAATGGCTCTTTAGAAGTTAGGCTTTAAGAAGGAAGTCACAGCGCTGAGAAAGCAGAGTGCTGCCCTTCCTCCCTCAGCTGCAATGCTGGGGCACAGTGTGGTTGCTTAATAGACCCTTCTTGCATTGTTTGGGCCATATGCTTAAGAAACAGTGAAAACTGTGCCAAATATGCAGACAGCTTATATTAGAGTGGTGAAAAGTTTGCACTCTAGAACCTGATATATTTGGTTTGAATTTTGGTTCTACCACTTACTCTGAGAGTAACCTTGGGCAAGTTACTTAATCTGTGACTCAGTTTTTTTTCGTTTGTAAAATGATTGTTTTGGGGAATAAATGAGAAAAACTATATAAAGCATTCAGCACAGGCCTTAATAAATGACAACTGTTAAGGTTATTAACTATTAAAAGCATGAGATCTAGTTTTGCCCCAGATCCTATTCTATCTTGCAACAATAAATATAACTGGATATCTTTTGGCGGTGGCGGGGGGTGGGGGGACCCTAGTTTACCCTAAGTAAAATTCTCCAGGAATGTTGACACTAACTTTAAAGCATGGAGTCTGGACCTAACAGTAGCTTCTTGCAGCAAGGTCACAGTAGGACTTCCCTTTCAATCTTTTTTCTGTCTGTGTTAGCATCTGCAGCAGGATATTAGCTCAGCCCTATGATAATTTGGGTGATTCAGTTCTAGTGGATATTAGCTGCCAGCTACTAACCCTGAAGGTAAAAGCAAAATAGGCTAAAAGAAAGAACAGGCCCTGGTCAGGACTAATTAGATTGCTGCTGACAATTAAAAATTCATCTCAGCAGAGTGGTGACCCCATCATACCATCTTGAGATAGAAAAACCAGGTGTCTTGTGAGCTTGTCTTTCAGATCCAGAGCCAGGGAAAGGCTCCAGTTTGTCAAGCACATTTTTGGTTCTCAGTTGAAAATAAATCCCTGTTCTCGGCTCCACTGCCTGCCATCTCCTTTGCAAAGTTGGCCCCATTAGGGAGGGCCTGACTCCATGAGGGTCTCATTTATATAGGCTGTGTTCTGCTTCACAGCCCACACACTAAGGGCAGGGAGGGCCACATCCCTAGGGCCCAGAGATTTGTAACGGGAATGAGAGAGATGCCTACTAAGGAGGGAGAAGAAAGCAAACACTTCTGAAAGAAGAAGGCAAAGAATGCTTATCCAATTCTGCTTGAATAGTGGGATGGAGAGTGTTTTTGCTGGTAGTGGAGCTGGGCAGGCATAGCTCCAACCCTGAGTTTTAGTCCTCTCCGTCGGTAATGCTGTAATGAGGACTGCCTGGTATCCAAAGGGCTGTGGTTCTTAACCACAGTTGTATAGAAGAAAGCAAGAGAGCTTTGAAAAAATACTGATGCCTGAGTCTCAACCCAGACCATCTGAAGATGGACCCAGACACTGGTATATGTTAAAAGCTCCCAGATGTTTCTTGCAGCCAAGATTGAGAGCCTCTGCCCTCGGTTACGCAAGGCCCAACCCTAATTGCTCCAGGGGAGTGGGTTGCCCTTGGGTTGCTATTGGCTAAGAAAGACTGATCTCCATTTGGTAACGACCCCACCAATGAAATATGTGTATGTGTATGTACACAGGTGTATGCACGTACATGTGTATACCTATGTGTAGCTGAGTGGACAAATTCATATTCAGTCTCTAGGGAAACAGATGTAATGTGGTGATCTTACCAAATGAATGTACTGGTAGCCCAGTTGAGGTCTCTCTCGCTGCCTCCCTTGACCTAGGCTAGTGTGTCCCATTCTATGACCTCAGTCCTGGCTGCTTCCATCTGCAGATAACCAAGCTTTACAGGAACCTGCATATGGAGGCTCTGATGGAGGGAATGAGCACAGAGCTGCTGGGACCAACAAGAAGACTGAACCTGCCTGGAGTAGTGGAGGAGGGAAGTGAGGTGAAGAGGAGGGGCAAGAACTAGAGCTCCTGGGTGTCCGAGGACTCGATGGACTCCGAGAGTCTGGCCACCACTCGGGTCAGGGCCCTGTTCTCAGCCTGCAGTTGCTCGTTCATCTGCTTCAAGGTTTGAATCTGTTTTAGCTGGTGGAGGTTCTGTAGAGAGTGAGACATGAAAAGGACAGACAGACAAGACAGAGAGAGACAAGACAGACCAGAGGAGAGAAAAGTAGGACAAAGAAATCACGTGACTTTTTGTTTTTGTTTTTAGTTTGCATGCAAGAAAGGAAATGAGAAATGCAGGAGTCATGGAGCAAATGGGGGGCAGGCAGAAGGATGATGGAGAAAAGCACCAGGGAGGGAGAGCTGTGTCTGATTCTTGGCTAACATCTAAATATGCCATATGCACATAACCACCAGGCTCTCAAAAAGCACATGTGGATTGCTTTTGGGAATGAAAGCCCAGCATGTGGTCTGGGGCCTTCTGAACCAAATTAACATGGTTGAGACATAGCTTCAGGGACCCTTCATCCTGACTGAGATTAGAGCTGACGGCTTGGTGTATTCCTAAATCTAGCTGCTGCCCTTTTCTCTCTCCCTTCCTCTAATCTTCCCCCAATACTCAACTCCCTACCCTCACTTTGTTTATTTATCTGAGACAGGATTTGACTCTGTCACCTGGGCTGGAGTGCAGTGGCACAAAACTGAAACACCTGCCTCCCAGGGTCAAGCCATCTTCCCACCTCAGCCTCCCAAGTCTCTGGGACTACAGGCATGCACCACCATATCTGGCTAATTTTTATATTTTTTGTAGAGACAGGATTTTGCCATGTAGCCCAAGCTGGCCTCAAACTCCTGAGCTCAAGCAATCCTCCGGCCTCAGCCTCCCAAAGTGCTGGGATTACAGGTGTGGGCCGCTGCACCTGGCCTCATTTATTTAAAAAAACAAAACAAGGAAAATAAAAGAGAGTCCTATTATTTAAGTATTTTTTGGTATGGGGCACGTATTGTTTAGAAGGTTGAAGTGAAACATACCAAAATAAGAAATAACTGTCAGCTCTCTGGGTGGTCCTCTAGCCTGCTTTGTACGAAGTTTCATTAACCCTGTTCTCCTCTGCAGTCCAGAGAGACTGTTCCAGGATCCAAAAACTGCTCACCTGTCTCTGACCTGCTATGTGATTATAGGCATCACTAAACTCACAGCTAACCGTGCTTTCTTTGTTTCAGTTCATGCAGTTTGAGAGCTGCTTAAAGGTGCTCAAAAACAGACTCATACTCTGGAAATTATAGCTGTGCACGAAAGCTGGAGAAACCATAAATGCCCACTGATAATGAAACTAGCTGGACCAATGTGCTAGTCCAGCTTTCTGTCTGTCAGTGTCACAAGTGAACAACATAACCAGCTGACATTCTTCCTAATACCATATATGCCATAAGACATTTAAAGACTTTAATAGATGGAATGATATCAAAGGCCTGCCGACTCTGCTACTGTCCTTCCTAAGTAGTCATCTGAACTGCCCCTGAAACTAAGACCATCAGTTCTTTGGGAGGAGAATGATTTTTTATGCGAATGGGGTTTCATAGATGAGGATGGAGAATCTTGTGGGTTATAATGACTATAAAAAGGTGGCCAGGTATCAGAGAAAAGTCTCTCAAATCTCTATGATGAGAAGGATAGAAATGAAAGATGAGTGCAGTTATAGTTGTTTGGGAGTAAAGAAGCAAGAAAATGAAATGGAGCATGAAGGGGGAAAACAGTGAAAAGGAAAAACAAGCAGAGACAAACTGCTGAATCTCTCTTTTCCCAAAGAGAGAGAATGACCTCCTTGGAAAAAAGGTAGGCTAGCCAAACTGTCCCGTGTAGCCATTGGAGGGTGAGGACTGGCCAATCTTCTTTGCCCACTGTAAGCATCTTGGCCATGGAGAGGACAAAGGAGGGAGATCATGGTACAGCACATGGAAAAGATTAAGGCAACGGGCAGGGACCAAATTTAAAAACCAATGGAAAGTCCTGGCTCTCACCCTTCTTTGGTGTTGACATTGGACCAAAGTTTTCAATATAATCATTGCCAAATAACTGTCATTGTATGAAGTGGTACTTGCCTCCCAGGGAATAACATTAAAGACATGAATGATGGAAGTGACTCAATCTAACAAGTGAGTATAAGCAGATCAAGGTGAAAGAATTTGGAAGTTATCAAAATGAGGGAGAGAGGCAGGAAACAACAAGGCAAGGCAAGGAGGAGAGGATAGCAGGGCCCAGCGCAGGATGGGCAAGGGCAGGGCTAAGGAGCAGGGTCAGCTAGTAACCTTTCCAGAGAAAAATAAAACTTCCAGGACCAATCTAAAAGGTAATTCGTTGCTGGGTCCCTCTCATGCAAGCACCTAAGAAAGGAAGGGGAGAAGGTCGGGCAAGGAGGCTGATGCTGAATGGAGGATGCAGTAGAAAAGTAATCACATCTGATGTGGGCCAAGACCAGGTGCAGGCCTGGCACAGCTCATACTGACATGCACACCTGTCAGAAGTTGGCATATAATCCTACTCCAATCCAGGATCTGGGTGGAGTTTCTCCTGGGGAGAATTCATAAATACTTACCTTTCCAATAAAAAGCCAGAAAGGCACAACACATCTCATAACCACAGAGCCACATATACATCTCGGTTAGCCCATCTCATGGTTCCCCCATTTCACCTGGTCTTTGTACTTTTATTTACTAGAGTTAGAAAAATAGGACTGAAGTCACTTTCTTTTCTTGAGTAACCTACTGAATTTTTAAGGGTTTACTGGAGATCAGCCCCCTCCACTGTTCCCTACAGATTGCTCCAAAGAGATCTGAGCATCTGTACAAAATAAATATGCAACAAACATGATCAGCTGGCCCCAAGCTCTACTGGGTCCCCATCCAGCAAGACAGTTACCTGTACCTTTGGCCAGTTATCTAGTACAGAGAGATTTTAGCCACTGATTACTCTAGCAATGTTGGTCATCATAAACCATAGTCTGAATGAAGAGCCTGAAAGCTAAACAAGCATTTTCTTAGACTCCTTTAGGGCCACCAGTCATATCCATTTTATCATTTTTATGTATCTGTATATTTGAAGTTTTCACCTTCAAGTAGGTACAGACAGAAACATAAAACTAGTGAGACTGCAGAGGTGCAGACGCTGCTCCCCCTTAGTCCGCTGGGGGTGCTGGATGATTTGCAAATCTGGTATTGGGCTTTGACTTGAGCACACGGTGTTTAGGGGCTTTAGAGTTTACAGACATTTCTTCATTTGGCTTTGTAATTGATAATAGAGAATAATGGACAACAGGCTGAATGAGTGAATGTTTTAACTAAAAAAAAAAAAAAAATCAGTCTCAACACAGCTTACCTATTGGTTTGGGGACTAAACAGTCATGATCTGGCTCCACTTGGTAATTTAAACAACTGACTTTAGAGTTGCTGGCAATGGCTTATGGTTGGGGAGAACAAACACTTTCATATCTTACAATCTCTATTGAGGAAAGAAAATAACTCATGACCTAGTTTTGGAAATCGTAGACTGATAGTATAAAAAGACAGAGAAAAAATGTAAGCGCTGTCTCAACCTATAGAATTGACAGCAACTAGAACCACTGAAGGGGCTTTCATAATTCCCAATTTAGAATTGGAACAGAAATAAGAAAGGGCCTCAATTTCTCTATTTGACCACTTTCTGGGTATTCATGTGTGGGCCTGCTTGGATGTGAGACAAAGCCCCATGACTGTGGGTGGAGGATGGCTTTGGGCTCCGAGGTAATCCTTGGAAGGTTCCAGCTTTGGCCTTAATAACATGCTCTAGATCAGCATTTAGGCCATTTCTTGATAAGCAACACTGACAGCTGCCAACAGCAGAGCTCATATGGTATAACTCAGGAGGTGTCAAAAATGGAGGAGCCTCCATGCAACAAGGAGCTGCAGATACTCATTCATCAAGAAATGGTTAGCTCAACTGGGTGTGGTGGCATGTGTAGTCCCAGCTAATTGGGGGGATGAGAGGCAAGGATCGTTTGAGCCCAGGAGTTCAAGTCCAGGGCAATATAGGTGAGACTCCATCTCTTAAAAATAAAAAAGGAACTGGTCATCTCATAACTCATTGCTCTAAGTGGGAGAGAATACTTCTGTGTGGTAGTAAGGTGCATTTGAAAAAAATCAGAAGATGGAGAAGTTTAGGTGTTACGGCTTACTGTTCTACCATCTCAGGAGAATCAATTATTCATGATTTCTATTTCTTGCTGCTTTGAATCAACTTGGAAGATTTAAAGTGTTTGAGATATAAGCAGGTATTGCTTAAAATTCTATGTGAATGTTAAAGTTACAGCCTTGGATGGTGGTAAGAAATGCAGGAGCAAGGCTCGGCATTTCCCCTTCATTCTGGAATTACAGAGTAACAGGATGGATTACGAGCACCAGATCTGGTGTAAATTAAAACTGCAACAGATCTTAAAATTTTTTTTTCCCAGTAAATAACCAACCCCTTCAGGCCACTGGAACAATAAATGTCTCTCCCAAATTGCATATTAGGGATGCCTACTCATAGAAACACATTTGGGGATATGCCTAATACTATCCCAGTGCTTTGGCTTCCCGGACAAAGAAACCTGTCTCACCAAAAGAGACATCATATATCTGGTAAAATAAGATCCTTGAAGAAAGAAAAAAGCTGAGCAGGTGCTAAGTAACTGTGGGCACGTGGCATCATGCATTGCAGGAATCAGATGTTCCAAAGTCATCTCCATGTGGCTACCCTGACCAGCAGTATGTTCACTCAGCTCTCTATCTACCTTCCCCTTTTCACTGTCTTCCTCTCCCCCGATCCCACTGTCTTCCATGGCAGCAAATTGACTCCTTAGGGTAGATTTCCAGTTCTTAGCACTCAAAACTGCCCAGGATGACAGTTGTCTATTAAAGTGGCTAATGGAGGTGATGGTCACAGCAGGTCATGGTGAGGAGAGAAAGGAAAGTAGTGAGCTGTGAAGTGTATCCGGTGGCATGAGCTTATTCTAGTGGGAGAGTGCCAAGCATCCTTGAATATTTCAGAGGAAATGGACTGGGACAGGAAATCAATATGTGAATACATTGTTATTCTGCGGCAGAATGATTCAATATGTATTCTTCCCAGCAAAGGGATGGGTTGAGGGGGACACCAGGGAGGAAAGCCTATGCCCACGCTCAGGCTTTCCTAGGCACCTAAAGCGAGGCTACCAAAGCTGGAAAACGTGTTCCAGCCTTCTCATTTACCTTCTAGAGGTGAAGATATTGCTTGAAAAGCCTTAAAAGTTCAATTCAAGTTTGTTTCCAGCCTGCCAAAATCTCTCCTTAAACCAAAGGCAGCATTTTTTCCTAGGAGGCCCTTAAGGTGGCCTCAATGTATATTGTGTGAGCTGAGACAGCCTAGGAAATGGTTGAGGAGAGATACTCAGTTTTTTACACATCATTTCTTATAGGTATGGAGTTTGTAGTGAAATCCGGAGGGGCGCCTATGCTCAAATATGAAGTCTTGGCAGGTATTCAGAGAACAGACATACAAAGAGAAAGAAAATCTCTTCATACCTTCATTTCTTCCTCCATTTCTGACATTTTGCGCTCCAAGGCTCGCCTCTCCTGCATAGGAATAATGAGACTGTTAAACATTTATTGAATTCAGAAGGGAGTAAAAATGCTGCCTTTCAGCTGCTGTGTGATCAGCAGATTCATGGTCAAAGGGTTCATCTACTGACGAACCTTACTCAGGAGATTTGAGCACTATCTGATCCTGCCACTTGTGGGATGGAGCTACCTCACTGATAAAAATCACATTATCAAAATCTCCTATCATAAAATTAGTAGATAATGGAGAAGCAACTTGCTAATATGCAAATGGACCAGGACACTCAGTTATTCTGTGCAGGTTGAAGATTTCATAGAATTTCAAATGTCTGCAAGTGACTAGGGCCCCTGCTCTCAATTTTCAAAAAAGCATCATTATCTTCAGTAACATTCTTCCTAAATTCCTAGGAAACTGCTTCTCTCATGATGGGGAGCAGATGGTGAGCTGGGAAGTAGACATTATTGTCTAAGAAACAGCATCTCTCCTCTTGGTTTTTTCCTTCCCCCTGTAGTACTCCTCTCCCACTCCATTTTTCTTTCCCAGCGTCTGACTCTTGGTTTAGCCTGAACCCAATGAGGAGTTTTTGATTAGATGGGATACCAAGGAGGTTTGGTTACAGGCCAAAGGAATAAAATGTAAAACTTAGCTGCTTTCCAAATTAAACAGATAACAACAGGACAGATGGGAACATATTATATCCCTAGGGTCGAATCAAAGCTAGGGTCCATCAATAAATCTAATTGAATCTTCCCAATCCAAGAATGTAAAATCCCAGAATAATATTCTGAGTACAGTTGGAAGTAAGTCAGCAACTGAACCAAAAATCCTCCCCTCAGTCAAAATGAGTGAAAGACTGTGTTGGCTCACGTTTCAAGTTGTAAGATCTAAATCAATGGCAGAGGGTCCCACTGAAAGCTTCCATTTTGTTCAAGGCGATAAAAAGGGTAGAGAGACCTTGCTCTCTCCTCTCTCTCTCTCTCTCTGTGTGTGTGTGTGCAATACAGTAAACCAAAAATGTTATGGGTTGTGTGTATATGCAGTTCTGCCCACGGTCAGAACATTGTATGAGGTGACCTTCCAAGGACCCTTCCCCACCTTAAGACTGAATATATGGAAAGTACTGACATCTGAGGAAATCAAAAGGACTAGCAATCAAATTACTGCCCAGAGTCAGACAAAAAGAATTTATCATCAAGCTGGGAATGGAATGTGGCAGAACTCCCTCCTTCTTAAGATGGACTTTTTCCATTGGCATGAACAACAAAGTTAGAGTCAGAAAGAAGAGCTGAAATGGGAGAAAACAGACGTGCACATACCCGTTTCTCCATCTCCAGCACTGATGACCGGTCAGAGGTCTTTTCTTGTTTTTGCTGGTGCAAATGGAAGAAAAACAGTTGTTACTTAAGTTGTCTCAGGGCCAGCAGAACGCCCAGTCTAGTTCAGCTTCACTACTGGACATCTAGAAATAAACAGTAAAGCTTTGGATTTCCCCTATAGCAGGAACCCCCAGCAAACAGGTTCTGATAGATCTCTAAGCCTAACATTATCACCTCTCTGAAGTTTGCAGGATTCCCTCTGAGGAGGAGAAGGCAGTAGTAGTATTCCCTGAAATTACAAAGACATTACTCACAATACACAATCTCTCTCTCTTCCACTAGGTTTTCAATGCTAATTATAGTCTTATATCTCACCATTCTTCTCCCCTCTTCATTCTATGAATAATATCACAGCCCAGAGGAAATTTAAAAAAAAAGGCTTTTCTTTAAAAGGCTGGTAGCTCCTGAGCTTGAATGTCTAAGGCCAATGGCACTTGTCTAAATAATCGCCTTTCCCCTATTCTTTCTGTTTTGGGAATTAATACCATTTTTCTTTTAAAGCAGTGGTTTTCCTATGTGGATGGGCTTGTAGGGGTTCTTAGGAGCCCACTCATGGCATCTGCCTTGCTTTGAACAGAGGCACTCCACTTTCATCTGTCTTAATATTCAGCTTTCAGATAAGGTAATTTTATTTGAATAAAAGATTTAGAATGTTTACTTTAGATCATCTTTGACTTAAATTTTGCAGAGGGGCTGAAAAGACTTAGCCTCATGGCTAAAAACCAGAATAACCTCAGATAATAACCCTTTCTTAAAAAGGGAATGAGAAACCCTTAAGTCCCTTTTGGCTGTAGGGTCACAGAACGCAGCAGAATTTCTAACATTCAGTAGACATTTAACAACTGCTGGGTGATTATTTTTATTTTGCTTAGTGTCATGCAGAGACAACATTTAAATAAATACAGAAATTATGCTGGTCAGCCAGCTGCAGTGGCTCACACCTGTAATCCCAGCACTTTGGGAGGCCGAGGCAGGCAGATCACGAGGTCAGGAGATCGAGACTATCCTGGCCAACATAGTGAAACCCCGCCTCTACTAACAATACAAAAATTAGCTGGGCATGGTGGTGGATGCCTGTAATCTCAGCTACTCTGGAGGCTGAGGCAGGAGAATCGCCTGAACCTGGGAGGTGGAAGTTGCAGGGAGCTGAGATCGCGCCATTGCACTCTAGACTGGTGACAGAGTGAGACTTTGTCTCAAAAAAAGAGAAAGAAATTATGCTGGTCTTGTTGTAGTAGTTTTTCTTTTTCTTTTTCTTTTAATTAAGGAATGGCCAGAACTAACAGTAAAACTCAGAATTCTGTCTCCTGTTCCGGGCTTTCACCTTCAGTTCAGAAGGGCATGGCCATCTGCCTTTATGCTGCATCTACTATGAAGCAGAAGGGAAAGAAAACAATGCAGAAATAGATTCAACAGCTTGTCCATATTCTCATAAGTCTTTCTTTCCTAAGCCTAAGGAGCTGTAGAAGCTGTGATGATTTCATGATTTTCAAGGTTTATATATACAAATAACTAGTTTTTTGTTTGTTCTGTTTCAAATGTTGACTCCTTTAGAGTATGAGTGGATCGTTTATATAAAAATATTGTGTATGCTCATATGGTAACTGTCTCCATACAAATGTGTGAGGCTGACAAGCCCTCCCTTCACTGTCCTGCCAAACAACTCCATTTTTGGTAAACAGCAGAGACTTAGTTTGCAGCAGCACCATTTCTTCTGAATTTCAATAACTTGTATTTGGCAAAACTAAGTATATTCTGACACACCCAGCAAAGCAGTTGGCCGGAGAGTAAATGCTTTTCTCCAGCAACTGGAAAGGCTGATTTTATTTTCAATGCCCTCTGTGCAAGTCAATGTCAGCAGCTTGTTAGACTGCTCACTGTTATAAGGCACGGGCTGGTGGAAATGCTGAGAACCCCTAAAGGTCAAGACATATGCTGTCAGAAGCTTCTGCTGAGGAAAGTGGGGAGCAGGTGAAACTGCTCTTCCTGTGGTTCCTCACATGACTGCATGACTGCTCCTTAATTTTCTGTGAAACAATCCTAGTAATAACTGATGAGAACTAGCATAAGATCTGTATTTACAAACCACTGCCAATATGTGGCACCATTCAGAATAAAAATTAGTCCCAGATTTCTTCTGAGGGTCTACTGTGAATGAGACATTTTTTTTTTTTGGTCTGGCTTAATAATGCTGGAGTGAGAAGAGACCTTAAGATTTATTCTGTCCACCCACCTGCCTTAGGGCAGGGTTATAACTATGTGTGTATATTTTTTTCTTTTAGATTTAGAAACCTACTTTTCTTATTCCATGAAATCACTTTAAGCCTAGTTATTATCTATCTGTGCTGCAGTAGGTCTCAGGAATTTCCAGTAGAGCCATGTGGGGCTACTATAATCAGGAAGAAGAGGGTGGCTCTTCTAAGCTGACAGGCAGTTCACAGGACAGGCCAACCATTTTGTACCTGGGCAAGCCCTGCTCCAGAAAGTGAGCATCCTGGCTGTCTTGCTGGGGTTCTACGCAGCTCTGTGGGGGTGTCTTGCAAGTGTTGGCACCCTCCTGCTCATCCAATTCCAGAGGGGTCACAATAGGATGATTAGAGGGTACTCAGCCACCCTTGCCCTCCAAACTCCATGTACTTGGTACTGTACAACCCTAGCATTTTAGTCTTTGCTTTTTTATAGCCAGTCATATTGCCAGAATGACTAGCCACCTCTGGTTTTCATTTCAAGCCTTCCTGGTAAAGAATCATTTAACTTCAGCTTTCAAATTCTGAGTCCCCAGGCATTCTAGGAGGGAAATAACTCAATGGGCTTCCTGTTAACTCAGCAATAACCTAAGGCAGTGCTTGCTTTAGCTTTCAGCAGTTTGTTTCACTGGTGATGAGGTTATGACCTCCAGCATCCTCTAAAGCATCATCTAATTAAATCAGACCTGGCAGTGAGAGGATATAGGTTATTAGTCTTTCTGCCACTAATATTCCTTATTTGTAGGCTGAAAAAGAGTAGCGGCTTGGGGAGATAACATGCTACAGAATATTTGCTTTGGGACTTAATCCTATGTTGTGGCACCACCTTTGCCTTTGATTTGTTATATGGCATAAGCAAACCACTTATTTATCTGGGCTTACTTTATTACCTCTCTGCCCTAGGTTTAATAGTGTCTTGCTTGTCTCTCTACCAGTGGTGATGTGTAGATAAACTGAACTGAAACATAATGAACAAGACAAGAGAAACTGTCTAGGACTAGCTTTGTAGTTCTGGTTTATACTTTTCTACTAAGAAAGAAGTAGATGACGATCTATAGTATTAATAATTAGAATTCAGACCATCGGGAATTGTTCACTGAATTATTAATTTTCCATTTTAAGTTAAACATTGACTGAAACCTAAAATCAAATTAGAATCTAAGAAGCTTCCATGTCATTGCCCCTGAGAAGGCCCAATCTTGACTCTGTCTCACTTCCCGACCCTTACAGCCCTAGTCCAATTTGCTTCCTTACATCAACCCTTGGTTCCCATCTTTTTTCTTCTTCTTCCCTCTTACCTGGGCCACCTTCTCAAGCTTGGATTTTATATCTGCTAGCTCTAGCTGGGCCTCCTGAAGTTTTGTTTTCAGTTTTTGATTTTCAGTCAGGGCACTCTCATAGAGCTAGAGGAGGGCAAAAAAGAGGATCAGAGCTCACATTAGAATTCACACCATTTTGTCACTTGAGAACGCCCAGGGCTCTGCGCCCCAAGCCACCACTGTATGGTAGATAGAGAAGATGAAGGAAGTGTAGGGAGCAGAGCACATGCAGCCAACTGGTCTGTTGCTTTTTCAAAGTGATGAACACAAAGAGAATGATGGTGCTCCAACTTCGATAATGTTAATCTCCGGGGAAAAAACAGTCATTCCATTTTATCCTATGGGACATTTTCACTGCTCAAAAAAACAATGAAAAAGAGAATTATTTTTTTGGAACCAGCTTAGCGTGTATATTGATTTTAGTCAAGTTCTGCTTCACAAAACATTAACAGAACAGGAACTCTTTATTCCCTTTTGAGACAGGGTCTCACTCTGTCACCTAGGCTGGAAGGCAGTGGCATGACACCTCACTGTAGCCTTGATGTCCCAGGCTCAAGCAATCCTCCTACCTTAACCTCCTGAGTAGCTGGGACTACAGGCATGAGCCACCATGCCCAGCTAATTTTTCAATATTTTGTAGAGATGGGGGTCCTACTATGTTGCCCAGGCTGGTCTTGAACTCCTGGGCTCAAGTGATCATCCCACCTCACCCTCCCAACATGCTGTGATTACAGGTATGAGCCACCATGCCTGTCCTAAACTTTTCTTAACAAAAATATTTTTTCCTGGTATCTCAAACACCTGAAAGGGAAAGTTTTGAAGTCTACTCTTAGAGCTAGGTACTACTCTATAAGAACAAAGGAAATAAACTGTAAAGTGATGATCATTTTCTTTTTTCTTTTTTTAACTAACACAAAGTAGTATTTAGTTGATATTCACAGGACCTTATTAGAAGCACATGTTTGTTAAAAATAACAGTCTACCACGTGATTCTCAGGGACTCAGAAAGACAGCATTAGGTTTTTAAAATTCCTTTTATATTCTTAATTTCTTACACTTCCAAATATCTGATTCTAACTATGTATTTACTGCACTAAAAACAATATATAGCTGGGCATGGTGGCTCATGTCTGTAATCCTGGCACTTTGGGAGGCTGAGGTGGGAGGACTGCTTGTTGCCAGGAATTCAAGGCCAGCCTGGGCAACACAGTGAGACCCAATCTCCACAGAAAAATAAAAAATTTAGCCATGTGTGGTGGTGCATGGCTGTAGTTCTAGCTACTCAGCAGGCTGTGGCAGGAGGATCCCATAAACCCAGGAGTTCGAGAGTGCAGTTAGTTATGATTGCACCACTGCACACGGCCTGGGTAACAGGGTGAGACCCTGTCTCAAAAACAAACAAACAAACAAAACACACCTCAATATATGAAGGGGTCCTTAGCTTTTTGGAGAGGAGAAGTAAACCCAGAAAACTGCAAGGAATTATTATTACTTTTCTTCTGATTATTCAAAACTACAGTAATTTTTCTGGGTGCAGTAGGAAATGGCTGAGAGGTTTATATGTCACCCAAGAACTGGAAAATTGAATAAAGAGCCTACTTTTTTATAATCTCTGTTGCTGTCTTCTTCTACACGGCTGGTCAGGGTGGCTAGACGGGCCTCCCGGGCCTCCCGACGGGCTCTTGCTGAAGCCCGGTCACCATAAGAATCACTGGTTGTAGGATTACTACCTCCTGATTCCAACCTGTGGGAGATAATATTAAAGGTAAAAATTGGTTTTGAGAACAAAGTGGTGGCGGGCGGGGGAAGGTAATGCTCAAGGGGAGTTTGAGCCTTTGCTAAGTATTTCAGAGCCCTGGCCAGAAACAACTCATAACATTCTTTCCTTCAATCCTCTGCCAGCATTCCCAGACCTCAGGGCTAAACTGCACAAGCTTGGAGAGGGAGGCCGACCATCATTTGCCAAGAATGAAGCTTATCAAAAAACTAGTGGTTTGGACCTATGTGCTGACTTAAATCTTAAGAGCTTTTCAAATTAGTTTAGGATTGAACAGCTTCCCTCAAAAGTGTGCTTTTAAAAGTAAAGGTTTCTTGAATTTCAATGGCTCTTGGAAAAATGATTACAATGAAATGTCAATGAATCAGAAACATACGGACTTAGAGATCTGAGTTGGAGGTTGAATAGGAAAGAAACAGCCGCTAAGGGCATGGTACATACATCTTTTAGGTGCTCTACAGGTTTTCTGGAATCCCAAACATTTTAGGGATGCTAACACAGTGCCCAATGAGCTAGTTTTCTACCACTTTATCTATACTCCACATCAAGACTGCTGTGCCTGTGATTAGATTTTCTATGTATTTTAGCAACTGAGCTCTTAGAGTTGATAGCAGTTTTATTTCCAGTATTGGTAAGTTCATTAAGAGAAGGATCTCTCAGTTGATTACCTGTTTAAGTATATAACTATCACCCTAATCCTTAACACTGGTTTATATTTTTCTCAGACTTTGCTCTTTACAAATTAAAAGGCAGCACTTATGAAACTGAAATCAGCCCTGCAGAGTGCTACATCCTAAACTGGGATGGTCTGAAGAGTTGCAAATGTGAAACTTGCATCTGATTTGTCTGTCCTGTGGTAGCTACGAAGATTAAGTAAGTACTAGAAGAGGTAGAAGAGCAATAGGGAAGACAGAGACGGTAGAGGCAACGTAATTACCTCCTAATGACAATAGTGGCCACTTTTCATTTACAGAGATGCTAAGTCCCACATTCTTCAAAACATTTTTTCTTTTTTTTGTTAATAGAAATCTCTTTATTGAGTTTCCTGATATAAAAGCCACATATGCTTGTAGAAAAAGTTAATACTGAAGCATGTAAAGTAGTAAGTGAAAGGGTCACCCCATAATCCTACCTAAGAAATAACCCCTTTTGGCCAGGCATGGTAGCAAGCTGAAGCTCCTGCCTCAGCTTCCCCAGTAGCTGGGATTACAGGCGCATGCCACCCTGCCTGGTTAATTTTTGTATTATTTAGTAGAGATGGGGTTTCACCATATTGGCCAGACTGTTCTCGACCTTCTGACTTCATGATCCTCCCACCTTAGCCTCCCAAAGTGCTGGGATTACAGGCGTTGAGCCACTGTGCCTAGCTAATATTTTAAAATCATTATGAATGATCACTATCCTTGGTTACTTATATTTGTTTGTTTGTTTGTTTCTGAACTGCCAATTCATAGCCTTTGCTCGGTAGGGTAATCATCTTTTTCTTCTTATAGTGGGGAAGCCTCCTATATAGTAGGGCTTTTAAAACTAATATAGGCTGCAAATATTTTTTTCTCACTTCACTTTTTGTCTCTGTTTATGGTGTCTTTTACTTAGAAATTTTAAATTTTAGATAATTAAATTTGATGATTTTTATCTTTATGGTATTGTTAGAGGCATATGAACCAGAGCAACTCCATCTTGAATAGGGATTGGGTAAAATGAGGTTGAGACCTATTGGGCTGCATTCCCAGACGGTTAAGGCATTCTAAGTCAGAGGATGAGAGAGGAGGTTGACATAAGATAGAGGTCATAAAGACCTTGCTAACAAAGCCAGTTGCAGGGTTGCAGTAAAAAGGCCGGCTAAAACCCACCAAAAGCAAGATGGCGACAAGGGTGACCTCTGGTTGTCCTGACTGCTACACTCCCACCAGTGCCATGACAGTTTACAAATGCCATGGCAATATCAGGAAGTTACCCTGTAGGGTCTAAAAAGGGGAGGCATGAATAATCCATCCCTCGTTTAGCCATAAAATGGGCAACCAGTAGCCCTTGAGGCTGCTCTGTCTATGGAGTAGCCATTCTTTATTCTTTTACTTTCCTAATAAACTTGCTTTCACTTTACGGATTCTCCCTGAATTTTTTCTTGAATGAGATTCAAGAACTCTCTCTTCGGGTCTGAATTGGGACCCATTTCCAGTAATGGTATTACACTTAAAAAGGCTTTTCCTATATAAAGATTATAAAATATTCTCTTCTGCTAACTTTTATGATAAAACACTTTTCTCTTACAAATTGTAATCCATCTGAAATCCATTTGTTTGTTTTTTGGTATGGCTGAAGGGAAGGATATATTTGGTCAAACAGATAGTCAACTGTCCTAATGATCACTTACTGAATAATTATTTCCTCATTGAGATGAAGTCACCTTATACATGTGGTTTTTTTGAGGGCTATGGATTGTATTCCACAGGACTCTTTGTTTATTCTTGAACTAGTGCTTCACTGTTTTAATCAATAATTTCATAGCATACTTTGAAGTCTGTGAGGAAAAGTTTCCTTTCACAAATCACCATTACAAATACAAGAGAGTTCACAAAAGATTAACTACAGTAAAGTAACACTCTCCAACAATTTTGCAAAACTAAGTAATTTTCTGCTAGGTTAGAAGTAAATGATTTGTCTTCAGCTGCTGCCTGGTGAGAGGACAAGCAGAGGAAAAAACGTATGTAAAATTTAGACAATATTAATAAGGCAGAACCGGCTCAAGACCAAAGTATAAGGAAACTCATTTGCCCTATGCTCCCATAACCACATCTTCCCCCAATTTCTTAATTTACCCATCAGAGGAACAGTAGAAAAGGAAAGATTCCAACTTTTGGCTCTGTAGTCTATTATTTTTTATTTAGATTCTTCTTTCAGAAGATCAGTTTTGTAAACTTAGATACTAGGTGAAAAACTGCAAAGGGTCATTCCCCAACTTTTGATATCTTTTCTTAATTTTCAGCAATTGCAAAAGAGGTCTTTAGTTCCTTCATTCAACAAACTACTAATGAGCACCATCTAGGCACAAGGTATTTTGTTGGATCCACTATTAAATAACAGTATCTAAGCTCAATCTGAACCACCAAATCAGGTTAATTGCTCTTCCTTGTGCTCAGAATACCTGTCGTACCTTTAATGGGCACTGATTAAGTTCTATTGAAATGATCTGTCTCTCTAGTGGCTCATTAGCTAATTGAAGGTTAAGGATACTGTCTTATTCACGTTGTTTCCCTAATACCTAGCATGGTGCCTGGTACACTGGTGCTTTAAAAAAATTAATCTAGTGGAAGTATACAGGGTGAATTGAAAAGAGGAGAATCTGGAGGTAGGAAGGTAAATTATTGGGATGGCTGTGGAAATGAAAAGGAAGGAAAGGATGTGAGAAACATTACTGAATGATTACATACAGCTAGGTTTAATTAGACATGCATTCACTCACAAGCATTAAGCATGCATATAAAACAGGCTGAGTTCTTACCTAGAAAGTCTTTCATGCTAGAGAAAGGAGACAAAAACAAAAACAAAAAAAGAAAAAAGAAAAGAAACAGCATTAGCAAGAGACTGATTTGTATTATTTCCATCTATAAATGCACTTTTCAAATCAGATGGCTGAACTTCACAGCTGGAAATGGGGGTGCCATTTAAGAAAAGCAATCAAATTGACTACACAAAAGGTGACAGCCCTAGTTCACACTTCTTTGTATGCCATGACTTACTAGATTTGAGGCATTAGGGCTAGCACTGTTATAAACTGGAAGTTAGCAAAATGTAAAATGATTAAAAATTTCTCCCCTCCCCTCCTGCTCCCAACTAACTAGCCAGGCTTGTGTTCTAGGAGGGACTCACTGACTTTCTATGTGACATTTGGCCTCTCTGGATCTCAAAATTCATTCTATTAATTTCCTTCAGTTCACAAACTCCCAACCTTGCCCTGAGTGAATACTGCAACTACAAATATTAAAACTCAAGAGACTTCCTCAGTTTCTCCCAGGTTGCTAGTGAAAGTAGAAGAGTAAGGGAGAGGGGAGAAAGTCCCATCCTAGTCCCTAGGATGCTGGTAAAAAGAAAGTACTCTGAGGTCTCAAAAGAAAGGAGTTTTACAGATACAGCCGGTAAGCTTGGTCACTGTAAAACAAATCAAACTTACAAAAAGTGCTTATGTCTGTGTTTGATATTTATTTTTACTGTAGATGAACTTTACCCTCCTATCCCTTCATTCCTTTTTTTTTTTTTTTTTTTTAAGAACTCTGGCAAATAAAAATTCAATTGATTTAAATCCATTTAATTATTTTTTTTTTGAATTGTTAAAATCTTCAAGACAGACAAGAGGAGGAAGAGAAACAAAGGTCCAGTAATCTACAAAATGGATAATGAATCCTTGAACTTTTGAGGAGTTGCTTAATGACACTTCTTTGCATTAAACAGTCCCTGGAAGCCACTGGTTTGTCAAATAACACAGCAGGACAACCCAATACACCACACCCTACAGCTGTCCAGGAGAAGTATACAGTGACAGCACATCTGACTAAAAAGGACTGAATAGAGTCACCTTGATACAAGATGGCATTTCTTAATGCAATCTCTCTTTAAATTAGGGGTTGTACTCATCAGAATAATCTTGCACACTTTTGCAAAAGCCTCAATATTGGAGATTCTGTTTCAGTAGGTCTAGAATGCAGCCTTCCTATATGTATTTTTAAAAAGTACCCCAGTGATTCTGGTGTACAGCCCTGGATAAATACCACTGTACTAAATGAAAGGTTTTTTTGTTTTGTTTTGTTTTTTAACATGGAGACATGCCTCTCTTTGAGGTTGGAGAATCATAGTATATTCTCATACATTGAGTTGAGAATACTGAAAGTTGGAAATCTAAACTTCAGGACAATTCCAGGCATATTTGAGGTTGGAGAATCATGGTATATTCTCATACATTGAGTTGAGAATACTGAAAGTTGGAAATCTAAAATTCAGGACAATTCCAGGCATTTTTCCTGTCCCACATTTATATACCTAATCTCCAGTAGCACTCATATGTATGCCCCACACTATCAAAGCCTACTTTCTCAACTTTACCTAAAGTTGTTTTTTTTGATGCCTTTTTTCAAAAAAGAAACTAAATTTTAATCACCTCTCAAGAACTAACATATATATTGGGCTGGGTGCAGTGGCTCACGCCTGTAATTCCAGGACTTTGGTAGGCTGAGGCAGGAGGATCACTTGAGCCCAGGAATTCAAGACCAGTCTGGGCAACATGGTGAGACCCCATTTCTACAAAATAATTTTTAAAAAGTTAGCTGGGCATGATGGTGTGCACCTGTGATCCCTGCTACATTGAAAGCTGAGGCAGGAGGATCACTTGTGCACAAGAGGTTGAGGTTGCAATGAGCCGTGTTCATGCCACTGCACTCCAGTCTGGATGACAGAGTGAGTCCTTGTCTCAAAAAAAAAAAAAAAAAAAAAAAAAAAAAGCATGCAAGTGAAGTTGGGATCCTGGGCTATGGGCTAAGTCACTCATCAGCTTTGTGAGAAGACCCAGCATCTAGGTGAATTAAAATTCATAGTCCAGGAAAACTAGTTATTGTGACATGTCAAATACTTGTTAATAATTGAGACTGAACTCCACACCAGCAAATGCAAAGCATCTATTTTATTTAAGACCCCATTCTGTGCAGAGCCCTGTAGAGGAGGCCCTGAGGAAGAAGTAGAACAAGTTTCACCACAGAACCAGGAGAGCACTGTGAACATAATTGACAAGTTTGCCTGAAGCAATGTAGGAAACAACATGAGAATATGTGCTATGGAGATAACAGTGGTAACCCATTGGCTCCAACTAAGAAAACCTAAAAGATATGAGTTTTGGGATGATCATAGTAGAGAAACACATACAAACTCACATTTTTTTTTTCCTGGTAACAAAGACCCAGAAGAGATACATACATTTAAAAATAAGCCAAAAACATATTGTTATGGAGGGAAAGTTTCCCTAAAATTCCATCTTATTCCTCTATTTTTAGTACCTACAGGGCCAGAGCACAATAGGTGTTCAATAAACACTCACTGAACTGAATTGTTAATGCTTCTGAGAAGTGACCTGAGTTCAAATTTCTGCTCTGACATCTAGCAATGCGACCTTGGCAAGTTACCACTTACTGTAACAGTAAGAATTAACTATGATAACTACAAGGAAGTGGACTCTTAAAATGTCAGCTTCCCCCCACCATTCCTCTGCTTTCATTTTTTAATGTAAGAATATTAAGAATATATTAGGCCAGGTGCAGTGGCTCACGCCTGTAATACCAGCACTTTGGGAGGCTGAGGTGGGCCGCTCACTTGAGGTCAGTAGTCCGAGACTAGCCTGGCCAACATGGCAAAACCTGCCTCTACTAAAAATACAAAAAATTAGCTGGGTGTGGTAGCACATGCCTATAGACCCAGCTACTTGAGAGGTTTAGACATGAGAATTGCTTCAGCCCAGGAGGTGGAGGTTGCAGTGAGTAGAGATAGTGCCACTGCACTCCAGCCTGGGAGACACAGTGAGACTCTGTCTCAAAAAAAAAAAAAAAAGAATATATTGGCTATTGATGCTGGTTAGAGTAACAAGGTATGAGGTAACAAAGCTTCAAACCTTTGTTTAAGGGAACTGGGTCCACATGCAACCAAATAAAACAATAATTTAGAAGGCCATTTAGTTTCTCTCAGTGCTTCTGGGTAGAATGGCCTTCAAACTATACCCTTCATATGGGAGTAGAATTCTTGACACTCTCCAAAGATGGACTTTCCACACCCTCTTAGCTATGGAAAAATGACCCATTTACAATCAAACTGGTCCCTTGGGTTTTCTTTTTCTTCCTCCTATTGAACTGTGATCCCATGTCTGCATGGTGTGCACAGACTGAAGCCTAACTTTCTGACAATTAAATCATGCTTATTTGCTGACTTTTCCTTGAAATGTGAAACCTAACTTGAATTTTTTTTAAATTTCTTTTTTGTAAATATATTTGTTGGGTAATATTTTACTGTATCTTTAGCTTTAAATTCTTCTGTGTAGACTGGTAACTACCTCTATGATGAAGAAACGAGTGTTTTTTTGTTTTTTCCATTAAAACAGGAAAATTAGGATTTTGTCAAGCATCAATCTTAGCTATTATCTATACATCAAATGCTAATAATTTCCATTGCTTTATTTTTTAAATGACATGTAATTAATTCTTTTCATTTAGAATGTTCTGGAAGCACAATTAAGCCAAGAAAGTTCTCAGACAGACATGTGACTGTATAGTATGGCTGTGTATACTGCATGAACTTCACTGAGGAGGCTGACATAAAATACAAACACTTAAAAATTAAAAAAACAGAAAAAATAGGTTAGCACTATCAAGCAGCAATCAGAAAAAGCCCGCAGGTTTCCTGCATATGAAAAGGCAGATCCCAGAGGGTTTTCAAGAGACCTGAATTAATTTTTCCACCAAAGAGAGCTCATGGAAGAAGGCGATGAAAATGGTGCTCACACTTGTGATTGCCACATCAGTTTTTGTCCATACTTACTGTAGGAGTAAGGAGGTATTCCCTACAGCCACCTAGGAAGTTGATGACTGACACTCTTACATCTACTTGCTAGGAGTAACTAAAAGCAAACATCAGAGTCTGTTGCTTATTAGCTTTTAAAGGCTTGTTAAGATTCCTTGTTAAAAATTTCTTTTTGGGTAACCTTTTATAAGATGCATAGGTGATGAGTGATCCAGCAGACAAGGCAGTAGACAATTTACCTAGATCCAGATATTAGAGAAAACAGAGTTTGCAAGTTAATCCTCGATCTTTCCTCACTACCTCTAACATTTCCTCCAGCTTTTACTTGATTTTTGGAGCTACATAGAATCCTTGTTGTTACTGTTGTTGTTTTTAAATATTATTGTCTTCAGGGTCTAGCCTTAGCAATGTCCTGGGAAAGTCAACCCTACCAATTACAGGAGAGCATATAAATCTCCTAAAACCTCAGAGATTAGTGAGATTTGGATGCAGTAGAGGTAACACAGTTACCTTGATACAAACAATATTATTAAGGAAGAAAACTGAACTTCTAAGGGTGAATTATTCTCACTGTAATAGAAATGGTTTCCTTTCAGGTTTCTAGCCTAAAAAGAGTAAGGCAAGATAGCTTAAAAGTATATAGGGTTTAATGTTTAATTCCCCCAATTCTGATAAAATGGCTTAGGTTTATAGATCACACTTCCTTACTAATTTTCACTGGTGGAATACCTCTAGAAACTATTGTTTTGCTTGGCTTCTTGATACCCTGAATAATCTGGGGTTTGATGAAAAATACTAGTTGGATTTAGGGAAAGAGAAGTTGGAGTTTCTTGGGTAAAGAGGCAGAGTGGCTGGATTTATGCAGAAGATTTAACTTTAATTTTTCTTCTTCATCCTGCTGTCATTCAAACTAAGCACAGATCAAATCAACTGTTAGGCTGACATGACTGCCAACCCTGCAGGGAGAC